TTTGCCGTGCAATACCTTTATGCCCTCCTACTCCTCTTATCACATGATTATTTTTTTTACCGTTATATTTTTTTACCGTCTTTTTTAGTCCTTTCTTTTCTTTTTTTTTGTACTTCTTTCCTCTTTTTTCTATTTTTTATTTTCCGGCCTCATATAATTTCACTGAATCTCTATTTTCCTTTTTTCCTTTTTACACCACCTACGTCTTTTTGCTGTTGACCTATTATTAAAATCTAAATTTGTCTCTTTTAATTATTTAATTACCCCTAGAAATCTTGTGATCTTAATATCTCTTTTTTAGGTATTCTCTCTTCCTTATCAGCGATTCCTCAGTTTAGGACTTTACTCGGGTCCTATTAATCATTTTATTTCCCTCCTCCTGAAGGTGAACAGCATATTCTAACTGCAGACCCATCTTCACTCTATGTGAACGTTGAAAATCTCCTTCATGGTAAGTTTAGCTTTTTTGAGCAAATTTGCTTCCTAGCCCTAGGGACTCACCGTAGTCGAATATAATCTTTATTTTTTTAAGTAACTAGATTAACTCTTTGGAGCCACAAGACTTTTATGCTAGAGAATAAAGGCATAATACTTTAGTAAAATATGCATTATTGACGGAGAAGCATGTGGGTCTACTGGTATTAACAGGAGGGTTAGTCGTCCGGCGAAGGTGAAGTGACAGTAACCCTGATTGGTTCATTACCAAACTGAAGTTTCAACTAACAATTAACGTATTTCAACTAACTTCTTAGATCTTCCTGCCCCACTTTTAACCTATCAGAGTCTATATCTGTTCTATTAATAAAGTCTAAAATTCGGATCGTATTAAAGCTATAATATTTACTTTATTAATCTTTTCTTTAGATGGACAGCAAGCTTCAACCCAAGACGCAGCTCCAGGGCAAGCAAAAGCACTGAATTTGATTCGTGGTAAATCTGTCCCTCTTTACGTAACTTATTTCGTACTCTGGGAGGCAAGTACTAAAGTAGAACAAATCTTTGGTTTGTCCAGCCTTGTCTTTTTAAATTTACCTGTCGTATAATCACTCCATCAGTTGCCGTGTAGACCTAAGCACTAAATACTTGAATTTGATTCTCATCGCAGCCACGGCAATCACCTAGTTGACCTTTTATTTTAGATGTTCACCAAGCCCCAACTACAGACCCAGCACTACCGCAAGTTGGTGCACTTAATCCAGTTCATGGTAAATTCGGCCATCTTGGAGACACCTACATTTTTACCTTGGAGACAAACACTATAGTACAAGAGATTCATTGTTTTTCTGGCCAGTGTTTAATTGCCTTTCCAAAGATACCCATTACACAGCCCCTGCATCAGATATTGCGTCTACCTTATCGGAGAAACCATATACTTAGGCTTCACCACAGCCAGAGTTATCATATCATTGTTGTTTTCTTTAAGATGGACAACGCACGTCATCTCCCGATACTGCTTTGTTCCAAGTGGAGGCATCGAATCTAGAGATGGGTAAATTTGGCTCTGTTGATTAATATTACTTCTTACTCTTGGAGACACCTTAGTAGAACAATTCCTTTGTTCCTCTAGTAAGCAACATATTTTCTTTTCAAATCTCTCAATCGTACATTTACTCCATCAGATGCTTTGCCTACCTTATCATTGAAGCCATAGTAATCATTTTATTGTTTCTTCCCTTGCAGATTTTCGCTATGCTCCCACCGCTTACACATTTCTGCCACGATGGGAATCAACGAGTCCAGTTATAGGTGAGCATGGCCTGCTTGAAGAACAGTACATCTTACCGTTAAAGATATGCCTTAGTAAAGGCGATTCTTTGCCCATTTACCACGCAGTGTATTAAATTTTTAATTCCTTAATCACACCATTACTCTATCAAAATGTTGTATCTACCATACCAGGGAAAGGTATATTCTATTTCAAGATGGACAACAACCTTCAACTGCAGACACAACATTAGTGCTGCCGGGCGCACAAAATTTAATTCGCAGTAATTTTGGCTCTTTTGCAGGCAACTATCATAGCAGAGGAGATTTTTTGAGTGGCTGGAAAAAAAATGCACTCCTTTTTAGAATCTGCCAATCCAAAGTCACTCCATCAGTTCTGTGTCTATCACAGCGCTGAAGCCTTTGTTTCGGGCTTCACTACAGTCATTTTATTTATATCACTGTTCTCTTTTTAAAGACGTTTACTACGCGGCAACTCCAGACACATCTGAGCTACATGAAGAATCGCCGAATCTGGCTTTCGGTAAGGTTAATCATCCCCGGTAAATCTGCATCTCACCCTAGTACACGCATATTAAAGAAGCAGAGCTCCCTCTTTCTGTGGTCTATAATGCTTATTTTCTTAAAGTTAGTTTATCTAACCTACCCTAGTTTTGGCTAAGTAACACCTTGCAGAGCCGATTGAGAAAGAGGCAAATGCTGCTTTTTGAACATGTTGCCTCTTTATTTGCTTATGCATCTAAAAGTGCCTCGAATAATGATGACAAAAATTAAGCTAGCGATTCCTTAAGTCATGGAATAATCATTTATGTCAGGGGAAGTGTATCTCACAGAGACTTCCCTAGAACCGGACAAAAACATAATACCGAGGCAAAATGTGTGTTTTTGATGCACAGAGGAGTTGGCGGGGCTCCTAGCATAGCCTGAAGATCAGACTGACCGGTAAGGTTACTATGGCGAAGTCTCTAAGTGGCTAGCAGCCAAAACCGAGAGTTAAACAAACAATTAAGGCATTACAAATCTGTTTATTAGGGCACCTAGTCGATTTACTTTGTCTTTGTAGGAAAAACGACACACGTACTCTATCAGTATTTAAAATTTTCTATTTTAGGTGAAGAAGGCACTCCCAATTTGAATCCACTTTTGCCAGAGCTGGAAGAATCGGCACCAATGATTGGTAATATGGACTCGTCAAATTCTCGCCCTCAATACCTTGCAATATCATCAGCTATCTTTTCGCTTGTACATCAAAATAATCCCGTATTCAATCATAGATTTACTTTATCAGTGTCCATAATTTTTTATGGGGTTCTTTTGGACCATCACCCTTAGCGCACCAGTTGATTTAGTATCTGCAGATCTCATGGTATATCTGAACCTTCCCCATTTCAAGAGGTATGAGCGGGTGTAGGAGACTAATCCACAAGAAGGTTTTCTAAACTGACCGATATGATGAGTGATTTTAACTAAAACCTTTAAAGATTTGCTCTGCGGAATCCACTTTTGAGTGAAAAAGAGAAAATAGATGAGGAAAAAGTCGAGATGTAACTCAAGCATATGCAAAGAATGTAGCAAGTCATTCCTCAACTACTCTGCTTTCAAGAATATAAGCTTCAGGGTGGAGCAATGCAGTCCGGCTTAGGAAAGGTTTTTCAAAATTTGAAACTTAAATGCCATCCTTATTTTCTTTCGTTACAGTTGCAAGCGAATCGTCAACTTCAAACGGACCTTCCGTAGATCCACAAATGATCCAACTAGTAGCTGGTAAATATGGCTTCCCTTATCATGGTTTATTCATTGTCTCAAGTTTTTTGCTAATGCAAGGCGGATGTTTCGCGTTTAGGCTGAATAGCCTCATGTTGCGCTGTACTTTTCAGATTTGTTGGGGCGGGTGAGAAGTGCACACGGAGGAGTGGACCTTTTCTTTGACACCGTCTACCATCCTGAGCAGATTTTCAGCCGTGTCCCTGAACACCGTAGACCGTTTATAGGTCATTTCATTGCCAATTTGCCGATCAAAAATCAAGTTTATGAAGAGCTGATGGAGGTTTTTCAAATAATTGGTTATCCTGACCCCATTCGAAGAGGAGATATTCAATTGTTTCTGAAGGTAGGATGGTCAGTTTCCCCATTAATTATGGATCTCATTCCAGATTTTGATCAATGTTGTGATTCCTTGCAGACTTTAACTCTGGAATTGGGACTTGATGCAGAATATATGCAAGCGTACAACCATCAATTCCTCAGCCGATTCTACTTGGCTCCGGATACACGTGACTACGTCATCCAGTGGATGATACTGGTAAAAGTATGGTGGAGATATCGTTGTGTTTTTAGTATAACAGATAATTATTCAACTGTATTTTTGGTTTTTTCCTGTAAGATACTTTGGTGGAAAGGTATTCCAACGCGAATTTTGCATGCAGCTGTAGGTCTGATGGATCTGTACACCTGGCTTCGACCCATAACACGGCAAGACTATCAGTTATTGGCCCTGGCAGCAATTACAATGTCTATTCGCACCAGATCGCCTAATATCCAAATAAATCATTTTGATCTTTGCACTACCGCTAATCACGTATACACACAGGGTCAGGTTTGTCTTCTGCATCTTCGTCGTACTTATGGTAACAAAGATTTTAACATTATCCATGATTTCATATCACCTTTGCAGATTTTAAGAATGGAAGAAATGTTAAGAGAGTGCATTGGAAGGAGGATTAATTTTCCAACACCGCATAGATTCCTTGACCTCTATTTGTTCGGTCTCACCGAGTTTACAGCTTCCATGCTGGAATGGGTATGTTCAAATCATTCAATGAAATCAGATGTTTATGTGTTTCACAAAGCACTATTTGCTCTCAGAGTAGAAAAGCTTGCAATTACATCTTCGAATTGGGTCTGTGTCAGGACTACCTGTGTCGATACTCCGCCAGTTTGCGCTGCTGCGCAGTGCTTTATCTCATTCGTCAGATCCTACGACTGAGGTGTGACTGCTCGCCTGAATGCCCTCATCACTTTATGCCAGCATGGACAACTACCCTAGTAAGATTTACAGGTCACAGAGAGACCATGAATCTGAAGAGGCTAGCTAAATTCTATGGTCAAATTCTCCTCTCCATTGAGGAGGAGGTCATTCCACACTATCTGGCCCATCACACGAACGTACAATACACGGTATGTCAAGTGCAGCTCTCTGATAGTAGTTAGCGAAATTGGTTAGGGAATT